GCCATAAAATCAAAATGTTCATGGGTTACAATTCATTTATCAATTACAAATTATAAATTTTATAAATCACAACTTCTGTAAAAGTTATAAATTATCAAGTTAATTGGTCATAAGCTATTTCTCGTTCACAATTTAATAAATTGTTAGCCACAATCACATTTTTTAGGTCACATTGTATATTCATCACAAATTATTCAATTTGCTGATTACAATCATCCAATTTATTGGTCATAAACACTTTTGGTTTCACTAAACTGCCTTCGTCTCCACCGCCTGCACCACAACCTTTTGTGATCACCACCTTACCATTGCCAACAATGCTAGATCCATTACCACACAAGTGCCAAAGTCCATCTGCATCAGCACTTACAAAAAACATTCCAAAAACCAACAAAATCTGACTACCTCCACCAATGCTACCACCACATGAATCGTCGCCTCTAATGCCACCATCACTGTTAATACATCACCATAACTGGCAACAATACCACCGCCATCCCAAAACCACCAAAATATGGAAACCACAACCACCCATCCAACAAGTTAAAAAAACATCTCGATTTGTATCATTGCAGCCATGATTTCTGCCATCACCATTGCGATCTACGCCATTGTAGCCATGATATGCAAAGCCTTCGTGGCGTTCACAGTGAAGGAATGACTTTACCATAGATTTGTAGAGCTTCCGACGATCTGGGTCATTACAAGCGCAATTTGCAGTTAAGAAATGGCTTCATCGGTCACGCTCACAATGAAGATGATAGAGAGACGCTCTTTGATGGCCGCGCTCTCCGACTAGAACGATTGACGAAGAGTGTATTAAGTTGGGAGAGGAAGTTGAAAGAAAATGGGTGAGATATAGACAAAGAAAGGAGAGGGAGGAATAAATATAACTTCAGGGTTTGCGAATGAAGTGGGGTGGATGAGTTGTGTTAATTAATTTAATTTTATAATATTATTAATAATATTTAAAATTTTAATTATAGCTTATCAAAAAAAAAAAAACCATTTGTATCTCTTAATTATGAATTGAAATCTTAAAACATTTAAGATGTGTTTAATTGTCAATATTTTTCAAGGAAAATACATTTTTCACCTGAATTCTTAACTTTGTACTATTTGATTGACATTTTTTTCATGAAAAACATTTTCCTACTTTTGATCACCTATCCATATTTTTTTCAAAATCGAAGAAAATATTTTCTTTAGGAAAAGTAGAATTTTATGTTTACAAGGAATCACTCTTTCTTTCTCATCTATCCATCAATAAAAATGACAAGTATAATATTTATAAGTTGAAAATTAAATCAACCAAACACATTTAATTGACAACTTTCATTTAAATAAGTTCTAGATAATTGAATTATTTTAAATTTATTTTCTTTCCAAACAAATTTCATACTTACAATCAAACGTGCCCTTGGTCCTGGTAATTTCCACCATGTCAAAATACCCTATGGCCCAGGCTACAAAGGCAAAATGGAGGAAGCCCAAAATAGTTGGGCTTGCATTAATTACAAAGCTCAAGACCAAATAGAAGAAAGCCAGAAATGCACAGGAAAATTTCATCCTTCTATCCATTATTTATCAATATATATATATTAAACCTATTTTTGAGGGCTGACAAAAATGGAAATTGAAAATTACAATCTTTAAACCCGAAAACACAACGGGAACATCTCCTGCTTACATAGTCAAACTCAAGGACCAAAATAGATAAGATTATCCTACTCTGTACAAGTTACCAGAAATCTGTTATGTGCAATTGAAAGCTAGCTGAAATATCACCAAGTACCAAAGCTGCAACCCACATGCTCCTGAGTGATGATACGAAAACGATCTTGCATGTCAGCAATAGAAGGATAAGCCGGAAAACACAACCGGTAGAAGCATGTGTGAGAGGAAGGCAAGAGATCATAGGACTCTGACGTCTTGTAGATGTATAGCCGGGAAGCCAAGCCACTAAAACCTTCAACAGGTAAATATTTTATTGACGTCCAGAAGAAGAGGAGAACCTTTCTTTGCTCTGCTGTCATTTGCCCGACAATCTGTAAAGGAGAATTTCAGTTACATTGTAAGTATGTCGTATGTGGTTACATATATTGTTGGCCACTCTAATTCTAATGAAATTTCATGTTGGTCATTGAACTTGGAACTTTGTTACAACTCGGAGGCTCCATCCATTAAAAAGGTGGAAAAAATCAATTAAGCCGCCAACTATGCTGCAGCGTCAGTACCAAATGACCAAATGGCAAACATATAATTTCAATGACTAACTTGAAAGAAAAGTAAAGTGAGCATCATGAAATTTCACTCAAACTTTTAGTGACCACTAGTGTTTTTTACCTGAAGTATCAGTCAGCAATGGATTTATAAAACTATACTATCTTTACAATTCTAGGGTAGATACTTGCTACTACTCTTGATAATAATCATCAAAATACATGTCCAACAAATGGAATTGACAGTCTAGATATATCTTTTGCGGAAGAATTGCAGAAACTTCAAATTCGGAAATGAGAATAAACTTTTTACTCCTGGAACAGACCTTACATATAAAATAAAGACATGTTTCATTTAAAACCCATTTTTATCATGGCACACTATCAAATGCACGCACAAATGTGCCTGCACCCCACTCGACCTATAATAAGCCACCAACGGTACATTATCATAATTGTTAGCAAACAACTTGCTTGATAAAATGTACCTTCAGCTAGCAAGATATTCTTCGAGAAAACAAACTTATAAGCACACAAATCTTCAGAATGATTATTGTAATCTCACCACGGATTTAAGCAATTTGTAGTTCTAAAAATGTAAGACAAAAATCCTCTGTAGAAAATTGAAGAAAAAATACAATAAATAATGTTTTATAGCATTAAACACGACATAACAACAGGCTCAAGGCTTTACGATTAGACTAAGATATAATTTTGCTGTGGTAGTTCATTAATTTACGGTGAGAGAGAGGGAAATAGACCAGTTAAAATTCCCCAAGATCATTTATGAAAAGAAGTGATATTCGTCATGTGAAACAAAATATTTGAAGTACAGGTGCCTTAGATATTCGTCATGTGAGAAAAACATGCCAATGCAATTGACTTCTCAGACACTGTACTTAAGGATGTTTCCACTAATATGATAAAGTATCAGGGCACATTCTAGCATGCATATGAATGGTCATAAAGAGGTGTGTGATTGATTTAACATAACAAGTCCAAATAAATAATTATGCATCCTCATAAGTTAAAGCAATATTGTGCATTAGTGCCACAAACTCTAATTGCAACAAACTCTCACATAGTTGTACAGACATATTTTCTGAGGTTTACGTGAAACAAAAAATACATTTATTTGATGATGTATTTTTAACAACTAAACCAAACCTTGTTCCCATAAATTTGGGGTTATCCAATGATTCAATGTTTTGCCACTCTGTTCAGTCCATTACTAGATTGCTGGAAAATCAAAACAGCTAATTCCTTAGCAACCACAAAATGTCATGCTAGTTTTGGCCCTCTACTCATTTTAACAAATTCTACTGGAGATGCATCACCCCTAAGAATATAGAAAACTTGTCCTAACCAACTGCATTGTCATTCCCTTAGTGTATGCTCAATTAGTGCCACATCCACTCGTATTTCTTGACTTACCATATGCCAACCACACATCCATTTCAAAATCCCCATTTCTGCTATATTTATCTTATACACGACATCTTGTCATTTAAAGGCCAAGAATTCTCATTACAATAGAGCATAGAAGGCTATTTAACCATATAGAATCTAATCATAGTTGCTGTAGCACTTCTCCATTCCATCCAACCCACTCTAATTCTTTACATACCCAGCATCCTCTGCAATTCCTCCTTTTAATAATTAAATCTAAATACCTGGAATAATCACTTTTTAGACACCAAAATAATCAGTAACTTCAATATTCTACTTATTAACAAAAATATCCCCAGTGTATAACTTACACCAAGGACCTCATCGTGTACACATCCTATAAGCATATTCATGACTAAGGCGAAAAGATAAAGACTTAACACAGAACCTTGGTGCAAGCCTATAGTGATAGAGAATGCTCTACTATTACACCACATCTCATGCTCGTGAGTGCTTCATTATATCCTCAATAAAATTCATACGTACAATAGAAATTCATTTGCTCTCTAGCACCCATCACAGCATTTCCCTGAGCATTTCTTAAAAT